TCCTGCTCGCGTCGAATCAGCTTCGTCGAAGTTGATTTTCCCGGAACTCCGCGGCCGTTTTCGGAACCTTTCTTTTTCGCCAGCTAGATCCGCGATCACTGGCGACTCCCGTTTTTTGTTTTCTGATTGGCCGAAGGATTTCCGCCACTGTTGCGTGCCCGATACTCTGCGCGTGCGGCTTTCATTTTGTTGCAGTCGAAGATTCGATGGCCCGGCACCCCGCAAAAATCACACGTGTAGTTGGTGTTTTTCGGACGTGGCCGCACGTTGAACCTTTCGATTTCCATCGGGTCGGCGAACGTGGTGTGAGCCGAGCGGTCGCCCTGTCGCGTACTGCCGACGTGCGTCCGTCGTGTCCCAGCGTTGACCCTGTTGAAGCGCTCCGCTGCCGAAACGACGTCATTGTAGCTCGTATAGTTTGATGCTGCTACCTGTCGTTTGACTTCGGTCTTCAGCACGACGAGATAAGACTGTAATTTTTCCCCTTCGGTCAGGTCGGGAATACGGATATAAAATTCTTCCATCTGTTGCGTGTACTGTGCTACACTCCCGAACTGTCGATGTCGATGAATTTTTTCCCGGGCAAGGAAACTGGAATTTATCGGCTCGAAGCGTTTCAGCAGGTCGGTGCGGAACTGCTGCCATGTGGCTTCACCGTAGATGAAGGTGCTGTTGCCGCCAATCCATTCGAGTGCCAGCCCTCGCATCAGTGTCGCGGCGAGTCGTACGCGTTGTCCATCCCAGACTGGCGAGCTCCATCCGACGGCTGCGGAGTAGATCTCCATCCCGGCGATCCATCTGCGGGCGTCGCAGTTTCGATCGCTCGGATCGAACGGCTCAGGTGGGCGCGGTTTCGGAGCCTCGAGAAATTGCTGCGAATGCTGCGTCGTCGCCGTTGTCGAGTCGTGCTGCGCTCCGGCGAGTCGAGTTACTCGTTCGAACTCGTTTCGCCAAGCTTCGCGGTCGGCTCGCATCTCCTCCTGTAGGGCGGCGATGCTTGCGAAGAGCTGCTGTGTAACCTTGCCGTTGTCCAAGGTCGCCATCCTGTTCAAAACACATGCAGGGGGGGGGGGGGGGGGGGGGGGGGGGGTAATTCACAAAACGCGGAGCTGGTGCTTACCAGAATCGACGTCGAATTCGTCGCCCACGGCGGTTTTTCGAGGCAGGTTTTCCCGCTGCTGCTGATTTGTTGAGCGCGGCCGAGTGAGAAAAGCTCTGATTACCAAGTGTGACATGATCGAATTTGTCGAGGAAAGATTGCAATATCGATTGATACAAGGCGCTTTTATACTTCCAGAGTACATCAGGTAACCAGGTTTATCCTACCCAAAGGGAATAGACCCTTCTAGAATATAGAATCACCCTGTGTATAGCCACATAAGGCTATTGGCTTTAAGGGATTACGGCAGGATTATGCTAGATATAGTGCGCCAGTAAATCCCGAGCCTGGTCGGTGATATACTGTTAATAACAGAATAAGCCAAAGGGTAATGGAAAATGGAGAATAGGAAACCAAATGAGATGGGATAGAAAAAGAGAGATGGAATAAGGAAAATGACAAATAGTGTAACGGGGTTGTACTCTCACAGTTATCCCAGTGCCACGACACACCCCCCCCGCTGGGATAGTGTGTACACCAGGAATTGAACCTCGGATGGCTGTGATACCAAGTCATAGAGTCACCAGTCAAAACCACTGGGATAAAAAGGGATGTCATCAGGAGGGTTAGGCTCCATATGTCCACCTTCCCTGAGGAAAGCCTCCCCGGTACCCTCCCTAGAGATAGAGAGAGGATCTATAGGGTTATCCCAGTGCCACGTCACCTAGTTGGTGTCGACTGTCTTCAGATCCTCTGCATCACCACTATGTTCCCTGGTCACAAGCGGTGCACTGTCTGTACCGAGGCCGCGGTTTTCCCCTTACGACGTTCCCCCGGGACCCGGTGTCCGGCTTGTTTACGCTGGACACTGCTTCCCCTCCGATTGGGGCGTCCTCCACGGGCCCTACGTCTACCCAGGTCGCCGCTGCTTGCTCGTGTCGGTCGCTCACTCACCCGTCGTTTCTGTGGCACCACCGCCTAGGTCACCCTACACTCCCGCATCTGCGTCACATGTCTCGTCCTAGGTCTCCCTGCGTCTGGTCCTCCCCTACTCCTTTCTCCCCCTATATTGCTTCGTTCCCACGCGTCTCGTCCTCCCCTACTGCCTTCGCCTCCTCCGTCGTCGCTCGTAGTCGTGCCTCCCCCTTTGTCTGAATACCTTCGTGTTGCTCGTCCTCTTGTTCCACGGGTCCTTGTCTCCCTCATTACCGACCCGTCCGTTGCTGTCTCGAGTCTTGACGCTCTTGACGCAGTTGTCGCTGACTTTGTCTCTACCCATCGCCTTGAATACGCCACCGCTCTAGTCTCTGACCGTGTATGTCCTCCGTCCGTCGAGGGTGCTCCTGCCCTTGGCTCTGACGTCCTAGAGGACATGCAGTACGAGCTTGTTTTCCTGTCTGAGGCTGCTCCCCATCTCTGTTTCATGCTGCTAATCCCTAAGGGTGACCTAGACGCCTTTGGCATACCGACCCCTCGCACTTACACTGAGGCGACCTCGGGACCTTGGGCCTCTCAGTGGATAGCTGCCATAGAGCAGGAGATGGCATCTTGGAGATCCAGTGGCACCTACCTGGACGTAGTTCCTCCACCTGGGGTGAACGTAGTCGATGGCCGGTGGCTCTTCAAGGTGAAGCACCCCCCTAGAGAGCCGCCTGTGTTCAAGGCGCGCTACGTGGCTAGAGGCTTCAGTCAGCGAGAGGGGGTGGACTTCTTTCAGACCTTCGCCCCGACCTTGAAGATAACCACTCTTCGGGCACTGCTACACATAGCAGCACAGCGTGACTACGAGCTCCACTCCCTCGACTTCTCCACTGCTTTTCTTCACGGTAGCCTACACGAGACGGTCTACCTGCGCTGTCCGCAGGGCTTCACCGATACCTTCCCTCTTGGGACCCAGTGGCTCCTCAGGTGCCCGGTCTACGGTCTGCGACAGGCGCCCCGTGAGTAGCACAACATGATGCGTGCTATGCTAGCTGACCTGCGGTTCTTTCCGTCCTCTGTAGACCCCTCGCTCTTTGTTCGTGCTGGCCAGACTCCGTTCTACATCCTTGTCTATGTAGACGACCTGGTCTTTGCTACTGCATACAGAGACGCGCTGGCCTCCGTGAAGGCCGAGCTGCTGAGGAGACACACCTGCACTGACCTAGGAGAGCTGCGCCGCTACCTTGGATTGCAGATCCCCAGGGACAGAGCAGCGCGCACCATCATTCTCACACAGTCACACTTTGTGTGCTAGGTCCTTCAGAGGTTCGGTCTTCAGTTCTCCTCTGCACAGCCCACACCTCTGCCAGTAGACCACGGGCTCTCAGCTCCAATTCCCGAGGAGTCAGTAGAGCCCAGTGGTCCTTACATTGAGTTGGTTAGTTGCCTCATGTACCTGATGACTTGCACTCGTCCAGATCTCGCATACCCTCTCAGCATTGGCTCACTTTGTGGCCACAGGCAGACACCGACCACAGCAGTGGTCGGGCGCTAAGAGGGTTTTGGGTTATCTAGCAAGTACATCGGACCATGGGGCTAGTACTGGGAGGTCGCAGGCCAGTGGTCCTTACTAGGCACACTGACACTTCTTGGGCAAACGACGCTAAGACCCTCAGGTCCTCTCAGGGCTACTGCTTTAGCCTTGGTGTAGGCACGGTCTCGTGGAGGTCCACCCTTTCGTCGTCCGTTGCACAGTCCAGCTGCGAGGCTGAGATCTACGCTGGTGCCATAGCGGCACAGGAACTCCGCTGGCTGACCTTCTTGCTCACTGAGTTAGGTGAGCGGCCTAGCTATGCCCCGGCTTTGTACGCTGACAACATGTCCATGATCCTCCTGTGTCAGGAGCCTCAACTTGAGGGCAGAGCGAAGCACATCCAGCTGCGGTACTTCCTACTGCTCGAGCTACAGCAGCGCCGCCAGGCCCGCGTACTACACTTGGTCTCCGGTGCCAATACATATGATACAGTATTTTTATTAAGGCGCTTGCGCCTAAAGATCATCAGCAGCACTGTTTGCAGCTTGGTCTAGTTCCTGTAGATTCTTCCCCCACGTTTTTGATTCCCCCTTCCCCCTACGATCTCGATTCCCCTGGCCCCCCAATTTCGAAACTTCCCCTCGTGCCCCGTCAAACTTAAAGCGAGGGTCTCAAGAAGCAAAAAACCAAACCCTAAGGTTTTGGTTTCGGGGGGTCTCGAAAATTGCGAGGTGTGGTAAGGGGTGCTGGTTGGGCGCTGTAACTGTTTCGCTAAGTTCGTCAACCCAAAACCAAAACCCTTGGATTTGGTTTTCTGCTTCTTGAGACCCTCGCTTTAATTCCCCTGGTCCCCCAATTTCGAAGCCCCCCGTCCCATGCCCCCCAATTTCGAAGCCCCCCGTACCCCCCCAAAAATTTGATTCCACCTGCCGCCCCTCGCTTGTCCAACTCCCCCCTGTTAATTTCGTTTTCCCCTTCCCTTCGCTAGTCCAATTCCCCCCAGTCCAGCTCGATTCCCTCCACCCCTCTCATTTCCAATTTCCCCCGTCAGTTTCGATTCCCCCCCATCCCGCGAAATCCAATCCCCCCAAACGGAATTCCGTTTCCCCCACCATCGCAAGTCAGAATTTCCCCTCGACGAAGCTCAGCCCAATTCGATGGTGTATTTTATTTTCGCCTCTCGCCCTCCGATCACTTCTGTCCTCCTTTCTTGACTTCCACATTTCCATCCCAAGCCGCGTTGAATGTGTACCGCGGCTTTAACGCATGCGAACGCACGAGATAGAGATGATTGTAGGCAATTGGGTTTGTTGCGCTGGCACATGCAGGCGGAAGTATAAGATTTTTAAAAGGTGACAAGTGCAGTTATTGAGATTTAATCGTAGGCATATTATACCGCGAACAGCTGGTTGACTTGCAGAAACTCGTGCAGTGACAAGAGCTATCTGGAAATACAATCGCTAGGATCCAGGACCATGCTCGTCCGTCCGAGGTTCTGGTTTTAACCCTGCGGATCTCGTGGCCGACAGGCGCTTTCAGCCTCCCTCTTCCGATCGGGCCGTGAACTCGCTGTCGCTTGCGCGCCGTTTCGCCGCTCTTTGTTAGACCCCCCGATCCCGCTGCTCGCACTCGTTACGCGCGTACGAACGAGACTCCGTGCGAAGCGCGGAGAGCAGCAGCGCGGGGAGCGCGGTGAGCAGGCGGGGCGATGGAAGCGGTGGTGGAGGGGAAGGACTTCAGCTTCCCGGGGTCGGAGGAGGCGGTGCTGCGGCTGTGGGAGCGGCTGGACGCCTTCAACGAGCAGCTCAGGCGCACGGAGGGGCTGCCGGAATACGTCTTCTACGATGGCCCGCCCTTCGCCACAGGTGCCACATTCGCTACAGTTACTTCTCTCGTCGCCAATGCGCGAGACGCCAGTGGTAGGCGCGCGCTTTATAGCATTCCGCGTGCCCGTCGCTGCGACTCCTGGCGTCGCTTGTCGCTGGTGCCTTGCCTCACTCACGGCAGGGCCGCACGAGCGTAGGGCCGCACGAGTGGAGACGAGGAGAGGGCTGCCGTGCGCCATTGCCACTATGGCTCGTGCGGACCACGTGCTTGCATCGCCTTGCCCCCCTCTGGCTGCCCCTCCCGCCGTCCCTCGTGCGTGTGATGGCAGGGCTGCCGCACTACGGGCACATCCTGGCGGGCACCATCAAGGACGTCGTCACGCGCTACCAGACGGCCACGGGGCACCACGTGACGCGGCGGTTCGGGTGGGACTGCCACGGGCTGCCCGTGGAGTACGAGATCGACCAGAAGCTCAACGTGAAGAGCAAGGACGACGTGCGTCCAGAGGGGGAAGGGGGGGAGGTGTGGGCAGAGAGGCACGCGCGCATGAGTGGTAGGCGCAGAGGCTGAGTGTGGCCGCGAAGGCAGGGGTGCGCGCAGGGAGGGGCGAGAGGTGGGCGATGGAAGGAGAGGAGTCGTGGAAGGTAGAGTGGATATGGGAACCCGAGAGGCCGGGGGTGGTTGACACACTAGGGTGTGAGGGGGCGAGGAGGTTGGAGGCGCGGCCTTGTGGATGAGGGGCGAGAGCCGAGGTGGGGCTGCGAGAGGCGCGTGAAGGTGAGTGCCACACGCGCCACGTGCCACTCCACATCGCCTCCAGCCACCCCGTCGCTCCGCATTCCCCTCCCCCCTCCCCTCCCCTCTCCCCCCCACCCTCCCCTTCCCTGTCCCTCTCCCCCCTCTTTCTTACCCTTCCCCCATTCCTATCACCTTCCCAGCTCCCCCTTCCCTCTCCCTCTCCCCTTCTCCCCTCCTCCTCACCTCCCCCCCTCGCTCTCCCCTTCTCCCCTCTCCCTCACCTTACCCCCTCCCTCCCCTTCTCCCCTCTCCCTCACCTTACCCCCTCCCTCCCCTCCCCCCCCCCCCTTCACCTTTCCCTTCCCTCATCCCTCTTCCCTTCCCCCCTCCCTCGCACCATCCTCCTTCTCCCTTCCCACGCGCAGGTGATGCGGATGGGCATAGGCGTGTACAACGAGGAGTGCCGCAGCATCGTGATGCGCTACTCGCAGGAGTGGCGCACCATCATCACGCGCGTAGGGCGCTGGATCGACTTCGACCACGACTACAAGACGCTGGACGCGAGCTACATGGAGTCGTGCTGGTGGGTGTTCGCGCAGCTGCACGCCAAGGGCCTCGTGTACCGCGGCTTCAAGGTCATGCCCTACTCCACCGCCTGCAACACGCCGCTCTCCAACTTCGAGGCCGGACTCAACTACAAGGTGAGGGGCGCTACTGCAAGGTGAGGGGAATGGGCTTTGCGTGAGAGCGTGAGAGGATGCGGAGCGGGGTGTACAATGCTGCTCACAGTGATTGCTGGCTCGCAGTCACGCCTTGGTGCCGTGGCAGGGTGGGCACGCGCACGAGTCCACGGCCCATCATCGCCTCTCCGTTCACTTGTCTACTCGTCCCCACCCAACACCCCTCGTGTCCGAGCAGGACGTGTCGGACCCGGCAGTGATGGTGGCCTTCCCCCTCATCGGCGACGCTGATGGTGCCGCCCTCGTGGCGTGGACCACCACGCCGTGGACGCTGCCCTCCAACCTTGCGCTCTGCGTCAACCAGGGCTTCTCCTACTGCAAGGTGCGCGCGGATGAGCGATTCCTCTGTTGGATTGTGCTTGCCGTGCCATGCCTTCTCATGCCACACCGTATACCATATAGCGTACCATGCTACACCACACCAGACTAAAGCATGCTAGACCATACTTTTTTGTACTATGCCACGCCACGCCACGCCACGGCATCTCATACGATACGATGCCATGCCACACCTTACCACACCTTACCACACCTTACCACACCTTACCACACCTTACCACACCTTACCACACTCTTGCCCCTTACCCCCATCTGTCCTGGTCGTGTCCCACCCTCCCCCCCCCCCCTCCAGGTGCGCAACCGGGCCACGGGTGCAGTGCTGATGGTGGCGCAGTCGCGGCTGTGCGCCCTGCCAGGCAGGAAGAAGAGCAAGGGGGAGGGCAAGGGGGAGGGCAAGGGGGAGGGCAAGGGGGAGGGCAAGGGGGAGGGCAAGGGGGAGGGCAAGGGGGAGGGCAAGGGGGAGGGCAAGGGGGAGGGCAAGGGGGAGGGCAAGGGGGAGGGCAAGGGGGAGGGCAAGGGGGAGGGCAAGGGAGAGGATAAGGGGGAGGAGAAGGGAAAGGCTGAGGAGGAGGGAGGTAAACCGGGAGGCGGAGAGAAGGGGAAGGGCGGCAAGGGAGGGGGGAAGAAGGGCGGCAACAGCAAGGAGGCGAGTGCAGGGGAGGCGGCAGCAGGCGGGGATAGCGTGGCGGGGCTGGACGCATCCATGTATGAGGTCATCGGCACCATCACAGGGGCGGACCTGGTGGGCATGAAGTGAGTGCCGTGCATGCATAGGCGACTCCACATACGTTTGATTGCTGTTGTGTATATGCACTGCAAGTGGCCATGCTTGTGTGAGCAGGTGGCTCAATGCATATTTCTGTGCTCCATGCACCATCTCATCTTTCACCCGAAAATTGTATGCCGGCACCTCTTCCTTGTCCAAACCCAACCCCCGACCCTCCCCCTCTCCGCTCCTGTGTTCCTCCCTCCCATCCTCTCTCCACAACCCCCACTCCCCGCCCCCTTGTCCTCCCAGGTACGAGCCCATGTTCCCATATTACGCGGACCTGGCGGGCAGCGCTTTCAGGGTGGTGGCGGACAGCTACGTGACGGACGACAGCGGCACGGGCGTGGTGCACTGCGCACCCGCCTTCGGAGAGGACGACTACCGCGTGTGCATCGCCGCCGGGGTGATAGGCAAGGTGCGGCAGCATTGCTCTCAGGCCTCTCTCAGGCCGCTCTCCCTCTTGCTGCCGCTCCTGGGGTGGCATCTCGACTCCTCCTGCACACCGCATTCGCAGAGCATACCCGGACATGGGTTCGTTATTTTTCATCCGCTTCATTGACCCTGGTGCATTCGTGCATGCCGGCATGCATACACATGTGTATGGGTGCATGTGTGCATGGTTGTGCCTGTTCATGGGTGCATGTGTGCATGCGTGCATGCGTGCATGTGTGCATGTGTGCATGCGTGCATGGATGCGTTTGCGCATCCCTCTCTGCATGCCTGTGCGTGCCACAGGGCGAGGCCATCCCCAACCCCGTGGATGACGATGGTCGGTTCACGGAGCGCGTGGCGGACTTCAAGGGGCTCTATGTGAAGGATGCAGACAAGGCCATCATCGCACACATGAAGGTACGGCATCATGCCACTTGCTTGCTGCAACCTCTTCTATTCCCACCACTGTCAGTCACTTCTCTCCCCTTGCTGCCTTTCCCCTTCACTCCCTCACTCACATCACTACATACCCCTTTCCGTCATCGCTCCCATTGTTTGCGTTGACCTACTTCCCCCCTCTGAGTTCCCTTTCCCCACCGCCCACAAGCCTTGTCCTTCCCCTTCCCACTGAGTGTCACCGCCTCATTCCCCCCTTCACCTTCCGCCCGTCCCTTGTGTTGGCCCGTGCTCTGTATTCCCATTCCCCGCCTCCCCCTCCATGCACCCCCCTGTCTCCCAACCCCCCTCTTCCGTCCTCTATTCACCCTCCCCCTCTTCGCCCCACCCTCGCCCCCATGGGTGCGAGCAGGAGGCGGGGCGGGTGGTGAGCGTGGGCAGCATCATGCACTCCTACCCCTTCTGCTGGCGCTCCGACACGCCCCTCATCTACCGAGCTGTGCCCAGCTGGTACGCCCCTCATCTACCGAGCTGTGCCCAGCTGGTACGCCCCTCATCTACCGAGCAGTGCCCAGCTGGTACGCCCCTCATCTACCGAGCTGTGCCCAGCTGGTACGCCCCTCATCTACCGAGCAGTGCCCAGCTGGTACACCCCTCATCAACCGAGCCGTGCCCAGCTGGTACGCCCCTCATCTACCGAGCAGTGCCCAGCTGGTACGCCCCTCATCTACCGAGCTGTGCCCAGCTGGTACGCCCCTCATCTACCACGCTGTGCCCAGCTGGTACGCCCCTCATCTACCGAGCTGTGCCCAGCTGGTACGCCCCTCATCTACCGAGCTGCGCCCAGCTGGTACGCCCCTCATCTACCGAGCTGTGCCCAGCTGGTATGCCCCTCATCTACCGAGCTGTGCCCAGCTGGTACGCCCCTCATCTACCGAGCTGTGCCCGGCTGGTACGCCCCTCATCTACCGAGCTGTGCCCAGCTGGTATGCCCCTCATCTACCGAGCAGTGCCCAGCTGGTACGCCCCTCATCTACCGAGCTGTGCCCAGCTGGTACGCCCCTCATCTACCGAGCTGTGCCCAGCTGGTACGCCCCTCATCTACCACGCTGTGCCCAGCTGGTACGCCCCTCATCTACCGAGCTGTGCCCAGCTGGTACGCCCCTCATCTACCGAGCTGTGCCCAGCTGGTACGCCCCTCATCTACCGAGCTGTGCCCAGCTGGTACGCCCCTCATCTACCGAGCTGTGCCCAGCTGGTACGCCCCTCATCTACCGAGCTGCGCCCAGCTGGTACGCCCCTCATCTACCGAGCTGTGCCCAGCTGGTACGCCCCTCATCTACCGAGCAGTGCCCAGCTGGTACGCCCCTCATCTACCGAGCTGTGCCCAGCTGGTACGCCCCTCATCTACCGAGCTGTGCCCAGCTGGTATGCCCCTCATCTACCGAGCAGTGCCCAGCTGGTACGCCCCTCATCTACCGAGCCGTGCCCAGCTGGTACGCCCCTCATCTACCGAGCTGTGCCCAGCTGGTACGCCCCTCATCTACCACGCTGTGCCCAGCTGGTACGCCCCTCATCTACCGAGCAGTGCCCAGCTGGTACGCCCCTCATCTACCGAGCTGTGCCCAGCTGGTATGCCCCTCATCTACCGAGCAGTGCCCAGCTGGTACGCCCCTCATCTACCGAGCTGTGCCCAGCTGGTACGCCCCTCATCTACCGAGCTGTGCCCAGCTGGTACGCCCCTCATCTACCAAGCTGTGGCCAGCTGGTATGCCCCTCATCTACCACGCTGTGCCCAGCTGGTACGCCCCTCATCTACCGAGCTGTGCCCAGCTGGTACGCCCCTCATCTACCGAGCTGTGCCCAGCTGGTACGCCCCTCATCTACCGAGCTGTGCCCAGCTGGTACGCCCCTCATCTACCGAGCTGTGCCCAGCTGGTACGCCCCTCATCTACCACGCTGTGCCCAGCTGGTACGCCCCTCATCTACCGAGCAGTGCCCAGCTGGTACGCCCCTCATCTACCGAGCCGTGCCCAGCTGGTATGCCCCTCATCTACCGAGCAGTGCCCAGCTGGTACGCCCCTCATCTACCGAGCTGTGCCCAGCTGGTATGCCCCTCATCTACCGAGCTGTGCCCAGCTGGTACGCCCCTCATCTACCGAGCTGTGCCCAGCTGGTACGCCCCTCATCTACCACGCTATGCCCAGCTGGTACGCCCCTCATCTACCAAGCTGTGGCCAGCTGGTATGCCCCTCATCTACCACGCTGTGCCCAGCTGGTACGCCCCTCATCTACCGAGCTGTGCCCAGCTGGTACGCCCCTCATCTACCGAGCTGTGCCCAGCTGGTACGCCCCTCATCTACCACGCTGTGCCCAGCTGGTACGCCCCTCATCTACCGAGCTGTGCCCAGCTGGTACGCCCCTCATCTACCGAGCTGTGCCCAGCTGGTACGCCCCTCATCTACCGAGCTGTGCCCAGCTGGTACGCCCCTCATCTACCGAGCTGTGCCCAGCTGGTACGCCCCTCATCTACCGAGCTGCGCCCAGCTGGTACGCCCCTCATCTACCGAGCTGTGCCCAGCTGGTACGCCCCTCATCTACCGAGCAGTGCCCAGCTGGTACGCCCCTCATCTACCGAGCTGTGCCCAGCTGGTACGCCCCTCATCTACCGAGCTGTGCCCAGCTGGTACGCCCCTCATCTACCGAGCAGTGCCCAGCTGGTACGCCCCTCATCTACCGAGCTGTGCCCAGCTGGTACGCCCCTCATCTACCAAGCTGTGCCCAGCTGGTACGCCCCTCATCTACCACGCTGTGCCCAGCTGGTACGCCCCTCATCTACCGAGCAGTGCCCAGCTGGTACGCCCCTCATCTACCGAGCTGTGCCCAGCTGGTATGCCCCTCATCTACCGAGCAGTGCCCAGCTGGTACGCCCCTCATCTACCGAGCGGTGCCCAGCTGGTACGCCCCTCATCTACCGAGCCGTGCCCAGCTGGTACGCCCCTCATCTACCGAGCAGTGCCCAGCTGGTATGCCCCTCATCTACCGAGCAGTGCCCAGCTGGTACGCCCCTCATCTACCAAGCCGTGCCCAGCTGGTACGCCCCTCATCTACCGAGCAGTGCCCAGCTGGTACGCCCCTCATCTACCGAGCCGTGCCCAGCCTGTACGCCTCGCATCTACCGAGCTGTGCCCAGCTGGTACGCCCCTCATCTACCGAGCCGTGCCCAGCTGGTACGCCCCTTCCCCCCCCCTCCCCGTCTCTGGTCCCTCCCTCTTCCCTTCTCTTCTCCCCCCTCCCAGGTTCATAGCGGTGGAGCAGATAAAGCCGGCGCTGCTGGCGAACAACGCAGAGACGTACTGGGTGCCGGAGTACGTTAAGGACAAGCGCTTCCACAACTGGCTCGAGAACGCACGCGACTGGGCTGTCAGCCGCAGCCGCTTCTGGGGCACGCCGCTGCCCATCTGGGCGAATGAGGACCTCAGTGAGATGAGGGTGGTGGGCAGCGTGGCGGAGCTGGAGGCGCTGGGCGGCGAGAAGGTGACAGACCTGCACCGCCACAAGATCGACCATATCACCATCGCCAGCAGCAAGGGCGAGGGCCACCCGCCACTCAAGCGCATCGAGGATGTGAGTGGGGCATCTGGAGGGTGAGGGGGGGGGGTCAAAGGGGAAGAGATGATGCGCGGGGTTAAAGGCGGGGCATGGTGGGGGGAAATGGTGGTGAGGCGAGGTGAAGGACGTGAGGCAAAAGCGAGTGGTGAGGTGGCCGGACTGCCAGCGTTTACTCCTTATACCACCACCTCTGGCCTCCCTCAACTTTGATCAAGTGTTGACTGCTGCTTTGATTCTCTCACACCAGCAGCGTGCTGTATGTACGCCTGCGTGCATGCACTGTTTCACACCGGGCCTTCCTTCCCCTTACCCCCATCCCCCCATGTCCCCGTGTCCCCCGCAGGTGTTTGACTGCTGGTTTGAGAGCGGCAGCATGCCGTATGCTTACATCCACTACCCCTTTGAGAACAAGGAGCTCTTCGAAAAGAACTTTCCCGGACACTTCATTGCGGAGGGGCTCGACCAGACGAGAGGATGGTGAGCGTGCAATGTGGGATGGGGGGTGGCGAGGCAGAGGATGGGATGGAATGGCCCGAGTAGGGCCAGGCTCGATGATGGCGTGGGGTGCTGAAAGCTAGGATGGCCTTGTGTCGTGATGCCACAGTGCCATGCCTCGCTTCTCCTTGCGTCTCTCAGTGAGAAGCTTTGACACGCCCATGGTCCTCTCCATCTCCACTCTGCTCCACAGTTTCACTACCCTGCACCCTCATGCCCCCTTCTCACATTCGCCCTCCCCTCGTTCCCCCTCCGCACAAACCCCCTCCCTTGGGCCCCCTCCCCACTTGCCCCCGTCATGCCCCATCCCATCCTGCGTCCCATGTGCCCTCACAACCCCCACCCCCCCCCCCCCCCCCAGGTTCTACACGCTGATGGTGCTGTCGACGGCGCTCTTCAACAAGCCTGCCTTCCGCAGCCTGATCTGCAACGGGCTCGTGCTGGCGGAGGACGGCAAGAAGATGAGCAAGCGCCTCAAGAACTACCCCCCGCCCATGGACGTCGTCTCCGCGTACGGTGCGGACGCGCTGCGCCTCTACCTCATCAACTCGCCCGTCGTGCGCGCCGAGCCGCTGCGCTTCAAGAAGGACGGCGTCTTCGCCGTGGTGAGCCTTCACACTCCCCCTTGCCCTGCCTTTTGTCCTGTGGCGAGATATCTTCTCTGCGCTGCGGGAAAATTCTCTATTCCTCTGGTCTTGTCCTCACGCCCTCCCTCCATTTGTGTCTCTCGGTCCCGACCCCACATCCCGCTCCACGCCCCCTTGGTGGTGCCCCCCTGTGCCGACCTCGCCCCCCGCGTGCACCTGTGCTGACCTCGCCCCCCGCGTGCACCTGTGCTGTGCGCCTCACCCAAAACAACGCCCACCATTCCCCGCGTCGCTCCAGGTGCATCGCGTGCTCGTGCTTCACTGCCTGCCACTCACGCCCTTCTCGCCCTCCTGTCCCACCCCCTACCCCCCTCCGCCCCCACCGTCCCCCCTCCCCCCCCCAGGTGCGCGACGTGTTCCTCCCCTGGTACAACGCGTACCGCTTCCTCGTGCAGAACGCGTTGCGCCTCACAGCTGAGGGCCTGCCGCCATTCCAGCCAATGACGGCGCGCCAGCTGGCGGCGAGCAGCAACGTGCTGGACCAGTGGATCCACTCCGCCAGCCAGAGCCTGGCGCAGTTCGTGCGCGGGGAGATGGAGGCGTACCGCCTCTACACCGTGAGTGCGCGGGGAGATGGGCGCGTAGCGCCTCTACACCGTGAGTGCCCTTGTAAAGGGTACATGGTGTATGCTGTGTATGGTACACGTTTAGCTGCCTTATGCAGTCACTTGCGATGTTGCTGTCTCTCTACTGCTCCCAATCGGCATGGCCCCTCCGCACGCCCCCCTGCGCCCATGGGTTGTGGCAGGTGGTGCCGTACCTGGTGCGGTTCATCGACAGCCTCACCAACGTGTACGTGCGCTTCAACCGCAAGCGCCTCAAGGGCCGCACCTTCGATCAAGACTGCCGCTTCGCCCTCTCCTCGCTCTTCCATGTCAGTGCCTCACGCCCTCTCCTCGCTCTTCCATGTCAGTGCCTCACCCCCTCTCCTCGCTCTTCCATGTCAGTGCCTCACCCCCTCTCCTCGCTCTTCCATGTCAGTGCCTCACCCCCTCTCCTCGCTCTTCCATGTCAGTGCCTCACCCCCTCTCCTCGCTCTTCCATGTCAGTGCCTCACCCCCTCTCCTTGCTCTTCCATGTCAGTGCCTCACCCCCTCTCCTCGCTCTTCCATGTCAGTGCCTCACCCCCTCTCCTCGCTCTTCCATGTCAGTGCCTCACCCCCTCTCCTCGCTCTTCCATGTCAGTGCCTCACGCCCTCTCCTCGCTCTTCCATGTCAGTGCCTCACCCCCTCTCCTCGCTCTTCCATGTCAGTGCCTCACCCCCTCTCCTCGCTCTTCCATGTCAGTGCCTCACCCCCTCTCCTCGCTCTTCCATGTCAGTGCCTCACCCCCTCTCCTCGCTCTTCCATGTCAGTGCCTCACCCCCTCGCACATGTGAATGCGTTTCATGCCACCACCTCCTCTACTCTGTGGCGCTCGCACGGGCGTGAGCACTGCGCGTGCCACACACGAGGCGGATGGCACTTCATGCTCTGCAGGCACGGCATCACACGGGCCTTTCATCAGCCTTTCCCGCACCTCCATGTTATTTCTCTCCTCTTGCCTTGCCGTATTTCCTTTCCCGCTTCGTCCATCTCATCATCCCCATCCTCTTCCCTCCCCCCCCCCAGGTGCTGCTGACGGTGTGCAAGGCCATGGCGCCCTTCACCCCTTTCTTCACAGAGGCCATGTACCAGAACCTCAGCAAGGCGCTCCCACAGCGCCCGCCCGCCGATGCTGCTGCTGCTGCTCCTGTTGGCGATGGCGAGGTGGGGAGGCAGGGCGGGCTGGGCGGGGCGGCGGTGGATGAGGAGCACCTGGAGTGGGCGGAGGACTCGGTGCACTTCTGCTCCTTCCCCACCTCCGATAAGCATGTGAGGGCGGGGTGATAAGCATGTGGGGGGATGGCAGTAAGCCCGCAAGGGTATGGGGATAAGCACGCGAGGGCATGGCAATAAGCACGCGAGAGGCATGTGAGAGGGTGGTGATAGGCGTGTGAGGGGATGGTGAGAAATGTGTGAGGGGATAAGGAATAGACGTGTATGGAGCAGCCGCTGCTTGATAAGAATCTGAGAAAGACATGGGCACAAGCCGAGCCGGCCCGAGCCTGGCCTGAGCCGGAGTCGATCCGGGGGGCTGGCGAGCCGAGCAGGCCTGAGCCAGGTCGAGCTGGCTCAAGAATGTGATGGCTCAGATCGCCCAAACAGGGGGTCCGGCTCGAAATCGAGCTGGCTCGGCTCGGCTCGACCAGTACGGTACAGTTTGGCGGATGGAGTGCGTGGAGTGGTCGAAGGGACGTCTGGTGAACCCCCAGTGAGTTTTAGGGGCTGTTGATGGCTCAAGAGCCATCCCTCCTCACGTTATTGGCAGCAACAATTCCTTAGTTTGTTAGAATGCCAGTCGAGCCGCATGCAAGCCAGCTCGACCCTGGCTCGAGTCACGTTTGTGCGTTGAGCCGAGCCCAGTCGGCGGCTCGCGCGGCTCAGGCTGGCTCGGCTCGAGACAAGCCGGAGGCAAAAGAAATCGGCTTGGCTCGCCAAAGAGTTGAGCTGAGCCAAGCCAGCTCGGTTGAGTTAGAGCTCATGTGTAATCTGAGACCTGAGGCATGCCGTCAAATGCATGTCAAGCCGTCACATGCATGGCATGCCGTCACATGCATGGCATGCCGTCAAATGCATGGCATGCCGTCAAATGTATGGCATGCCGTCACATGCATGGCATGCCTTGACATGCATGTCATGCCGTCACATGCATGGCATGCCGTCACATGCACGGCATGCTGTCAAATGCATGGCATGCCGTCACATTCATGGCATGCCGTCACATGCATGGCATGCAGTCACATGCATGGCATGCCGTCAAATGCATGGCATGCCATCACATGCATGGCATGCCGTCACATGCATGGCATGCCGTCACATGCATGGCATGCCGTCAAATGCACGGCATGCCGTCACATGCACGGCATGCCGTCACATGCACGGCATGCCGTCACATGCACGGCATGCCGTCACATGCACGGCATGCCGTCACATGCACGGCATGCCGTCACATGCATGGCCTGCCGTCAAACGCATGGCGTGCCGTCACATGCATGGCATGCCGTCACATGCATGGCATGCCGTCAAATGCATGGCATGCCGTCACATGCATGGCATGCCGTCACATGCATAGCTTGCCATCAAATGCATGGCATGCGGTTTAATGCATCGCGGGCATGCCGTCACATGCATGGCATGCCGTCACATTCGTGGCTTGCCGTCAAATGCATGGCATGCCGTCGAACGCATGGCATGCTGTCACATGATGGCATGACGTCAAATGCATGGCATGCCGTCACATGCATGGCATGCCGTCAAATGCATGGCATGCCGTCACATTCATGGCATGCCGTCACATGCATGGCATGCCGTCACATGCATGGCATGCCGTCACATGCACTACATGCCGTCACATGCATGGCATGCCGTCAAATGCATGGCATGCCGTCACATTCATGGCATGCCGTCACATGCATGGCATGCCGTCACATGCATGGCATGCCGTCGCATGCATGGCATGCCGTCAAATGCATGGCATGCTGTCAGATGCATGGCATGCTGTCACATGCATGGCATGCCGTCACATGCATGGCATGCCCTCAAATGCATCGCATGCCGTCACATGCATGGCATGCCGTCGCATGCATGGCATGCCGTCAAATGCATGGCATGCCGTCACATGCATGCACTGCATGCCGTCACATGCATGGCATGCCGTCACATGCACGGCATGCCGTCACATTCATGGCATGACGTCAAATGCACGGCATGCCGTCACATGCATGGCATGCCGTCAAATGCATGGCATGCCGTCACATTCATGGCATGCCGTCACATGCATGGCATGCCGTCACATGCATGGCATGCCGTCACATGCATGGCATGCCATCACATGCATGGCTTGCCGTCACTGTCACATGCATGGCATGCCGTCAAATGCACAGCATGCCGTCAAATGCACAGCATGCCATCATATTCACGGCATGCCGTCACATGCACGGGATGCTGTCAAATGCATGGCATGCCGTCACATGCATGGCATGGCATGCCGTCACATGCATGGCATGCCATCACATGTATGGCATCCCGTCACATGCACGGTATGCCGTCAAATGCATGGCATTCCGTCACATGCATGGCATGCCGTCACATGCATGGCATGCCGTCACATGCATGGCATGCTGTCACATACATGGCATGCCCTCACATGCATGGCATGCCGTCACATGCACGGCATACCATCACATGCACGGCATGCCGTCAAATGCATGGCATTTCGTCACATGCATGTCATGCCGTCACATGCATGGCATGCCGTCACATGCATGGCATGCCATCAAATGTGTGGCATGCCGTCAAATGCATCACATGCCGTCAAATGCATGGCATGCCGTCACATGGATGGCATGCCGTCAAATGCATGGCATGCCGTCAAATGCATCGCATGCCGTCAAATGCATCGCATGCCGTCACATTCATGGCATGCCGTCACATGCATGGCATGCCGTCACATGCATGGCATGCCGTCAAATGCATGGCATGCTTCCATTCTCTGCTCGTCAATGCCAGCCCTTTGTCTACTTTTTTCTGCCTGAGTTTGTCGGTTTTACCACGCCATGGTGTGCCATGGACCCTAAAGTAGAGTTATGGTGATGCCCTTGCGTGCATCGGCAGCGCAACTGATAACATTTCGCGCAGGGAGTGTCCCACACTTGCATGGCGCTATCCGCTCAGCCCGTATGCTCATCCATGCGTCACTCTCTAAAGCTAGATCCATCGATGTACTTCCATAGTCTTTTTCCGAGCTTGCCTGAATCGTCTCTCCCTCCTTCAACAGTGACCTGATCCTAATGGCGTGCTCCTATTCTTGCCCTTTCTCTCGATTCCTTCTCCCCTGTCTCTTTCTCAGGGGCGTGCAGCACAGGAGACCAACTGTTGGTGATTGGATAGTGAGTCTCATCTCTCGTCCTACCCTTCTCTCCACTGCTTCCTTCCTCCCTCCTCCCCGTGTCCGTCCCCAGGTGGACGAGCGCATGGAGCGCAGTGTGGAGCGCATGATGAAGGTCATCGACCTCGCCAGGAACATCCGCGAGCGCAACAACCGCCCGCTCAAGACGCCGCTCCGGTGAGCAACAAGTCATTAGAAGCTGAATTGCTGCAAGGGGTAGGTTCACACAGTCAGGCTCCAGTTTTCCCTCTGGTGCTTTGTCACGGTGCAGGGGAAGTAGCCTTCACAAACTGTACGGGTATGTGACAGTGCTGCGTTGCTCTCCCCTCATGTGACCGCATGTGCGCGTGTGAACAGGGAGATGGTGGTGGTGCACCCTGACGCCCAGTTCCTGGAAGACATCACCGGCAAGCTGTGCGAGGTGGGGCAAGCTGGGCGAGGTGGGGCAAGCTGGGCGAGGTGGGGCAAGCTGGGCGAGGTGGGGCAAGCTGGGCGAGGTGGGGCAAGCTGGGCGAGGTGGGGCAAGCTGGGCGAGGTGGGGCAAGCTGGGCGAGGTGGGGCAAGCTGGGCGAGGTGGGGCAAGCTGTGCGAGGTGGGGCAAGCTGTGCGAGGTGGGGCAAGCTGTGCGAGGTGGGGCAAGCTGGGCGAGGTGGGGCAAGCTGGGTGAGGTTGGGCAAGCTGGGCGAGGTGGGGCAAGCTGTGCGAGGTGGGGCAAGCTGTGCGAGGTGGGGCAAGCTGGGCGAGGTGGGGCAAGCTGAGCGAGGTGGGGCAAGCTGTGCGAGGTGGGGCAAGCTGGGCGAGGTGGGGCAAGCTGAGCGAGGTGGGGCAAGCTGTGCGAGGTGGGGCAAGCTGTGCGAGGTGGGGCAAGCTGGGCGAGGTGGGGCAAGCTGGGCGAGGTGGGGCAAGCTGAGCGAGGTGGGGCAAGCTGTGCGAGGTGGGGCAAGCTGTGCGAGGTGGGGCAAGCTGGGCGAGGTGGGGCAAGCTGGACGAGGTGGGGCAAGCTGTGCGAGGTGGGGCAAGCTGTGCGAGGTGGGGCAATCTGTGCGAGGTGGGGCAAGCTGGGCGAGGTGGGGCAAGCTGGGTGAGGTTGGGCAAGCTGGGCGAGGTGGGGCAAGCTGTGCGAGGTGGGGCAAGCTGTGCGAGGTGGGGCAAGCTGGGCGAGGTGGGGCAAGCTGAGCGAGGTGGGGCAAGCTGTGCGAGGTGGGGCAAGCTGGGCGAGGTGGGGCAAGCTGAGCGAGGTGGGGCAAGCTGTGCGAGGTGGGGCAAGCTGTGCGAGGTGGGGCAAGCTGGGCGAGGTGGGGCAAGCTGTGCGAGGTGGGGCAAGCTGTGCGAGGTGGGGCAAGCTGTGTGAGGTGGGGCAAGCTGGGCGAGGTGGGGCAAGCTGGGTGAGGTTGGGCAAGCTGGGCGAGGTGGGGCAAGCTGTGCGAGGTGGGGCAAGCTGTGCGAGGTGGGGCAAGCTGGGCGAGGTGGGGCAAGCTGAGCGAGGTGGGGCAAGCTGTGCGAGGTGGGGCAAGCTGGGCGAGGTGGGGCAAGCTGAGCGAGGTGGGGCAAGCTGTGCGAGGTGGGGCAAGCTGTGCGAGGTGGGGCAAGCTGGGCAAGGTGGGGCAAGCTGGGCGAGGTGGGGCAAGCTGTGCGAGGTGGGGCAAGCTGTGCGATGTGGGGCAAGCTGGGCGAGGGTGGGGCAAGCTGGGCGAGGTTGGGCAAGCTGGGCGAGGTGGGGCAAGCTGTGCGAGGTGGGGCAAGCTGTGCGAGGTAGGGCAAGCTGGGCGAGGTGGGGCAAGCTGAGCGAGGTGACGCAAGCTGGGCGAGGTGGGGCAAGCTGGGCGAGGCGGGGCAAGCTGGGCGAGGTGGGGCAAGCTGGGCGAGGTGGGGCAAGCTGTGCGAGGTGGGACAAGCTGTGCGAGGTGGGGCAAGCTGCGAGGTGGGGCAGGCTGTGTGAGGCGGGGCAAGCTGTGCGAGGCGGGGCAAGCTGTGCGTGGCGGGGCAAGCCTATGTGTTAGCACAGCCTCTTCAATGCCGGCATTCCCATGCACCCTCGCTCACCTGTGCTCCCTCGCTCACCTGTGCTCCCTCGCTCACCTGTGCTCCCTCGCTCACCTGTGCTCCCTCGCTCACCTGTGCTCCCTCGCTCACCTGTGCTCCCTCTCTCACCTGTGCTCCCTCTCTCATCTGTGCTCCCTCGCTCACCTGTGCTCCCTCGCTCACCTGTGCTCCCTCGCTCACCTGTGCTCCCTCGCTCACCTGTGCTCCCTCGCTCACCTGTGCTCCCTCGCTCACCTGTGCTCCCTCTCTCACCTGTGCTCCCTCGCTCACCTGTGCTCCCTTGCTCACCTGTGCTCCCTCGCTCACCTGTGCTCCCTCGCTCACCTGTGCTCCCTCGCTCACCTGTGCTCCCTCGCTCACCTGTGCTCCCTCGCTCACCTGTGCTCCCTCGCTCACCTGTGCTCCCTCGCTCACCTGTGCTCCCTCGCTCACCTGTGCTCCCTCGCTCACCTGTGCTCCCTCGCTCACCTGTGCTCCCTCTCTCACCTGTGCTCCTCGCTCACCTGTGCTCCCTCGCTCACCTGTGCTCCCTCGCTCACCTGTGCTCCCTCGCTCACCTGTGCTCCCTCTCTCACCTGTGCTCCCTCGCTCACCTGTGCTCCCTCGCTCACCTGTGCTCCCTCGCTCACCTGTGCTCCCTCGCTCACCTGTGCTCTCTCGCTCACCTGTGCTCCCTCGCTCACCTGTGCTCCCTCGCTCACCTGTGCTCCCTCGCTCACCTGTGCTCCCTCGCTCACCTGTGCTCCCTCTCTCACCTGTGCTCCCTCGCTCACCTGTGCTCCCTCGCTCACCTGTGCTCCCTCGCTCACCTGTGCTCCCTCGCTCACCTGTGCTCTCTCGCTCACCTGTGCTCCCTCGCTCACCTGTGCTCCCTCGCTCACCTGTGCTCCCTCGCTCACCTGTGCTCCCTCGCTCACCTGTGCTCCCTCGCTCACCTGTGCTCCCTCGCTCACCTGTGCTCCCTCGCTCACCTGTGCTCCCTCTCTCACCTGTGCTCCTCGCTCACCTGTGCTCCCTCGCTCACCTGTGCCCCTCGCTCACCTGTGCTCCCTCGCTCACCTGTGCTCCCTCTCTCACCTGTGCTCCCTCGCTCACCTGTGCTCCCTCGCTCACCTGTGCTCCCTCGCTCACCTGTGCTCCCTCGCTCACCTGTGCTCCCTCGCTCACCTGTGCTCCCTCGCTCACCTGTGCTCCCTCGCTCACCTGTGCTCCCTCTCTCACCTGTGCTCCCTCGCTCACCTGTGCTCCCTCGCTCACCTGTGCCCCCTCGCTCACCTGTGCTCCCTCACTCACCTGTGCTCCCTCTCTCACCTGTCCTCCCTCGCTCACCTGTGCTCCCTCGCTCACCTGTGCTCCCTCGCTCACCTGTGCTCCCTCGCTCACCTGTGCTCCTCGCTCACCTGTGCTCCCTCGCTCACCTGTGCTCCCTCGCTCACCTGTGCTCCCTCGCTCACCTGTGCTCCCTCGCTCACCTGTGCTCCCTCGCTCACCTGTGCTCCCTCGCTCACCTGTGCTCCCTCGCTCACCTGTGCTCCCTCGCTCACCTGTGCTCCCTCGCTCACCTGTGCTCCCTCGCTCACCTGTGCTCCCTCTCTCACCTGTGCTCCCTCGCTCACCTGTGCTCCCTCGCTCACCTGTGCTCCCTCGCTCACCTGTGCTCCCTCGCTCACCTGTGCTCCCTCTCTCACCTGTGCTCCCTCGCTCACCTGTGCTCCCTCGCTCACCTGTGCTCCCTCGCTCACCTGTGCTCCCTCGCTCACCTGTGCTCCTCGCTCACCTGTGCTCCCTCGCTCACCTGTGCTCCCTCGCTCACCTGTGCTCCCTCGCTCACCTGTGCTCCCTCGCTCACCTGTGCTCCCTCGCTCACCTGTGCTCCCTCGCTCACCTGTGCTCCCTCGCTCACCTGTGCTCCCTCGCTCACCTGTGCTCCCTCGCTCACCTGTGCTCCCTCGCTCACCTGTGCTCCCTCGCTCACCTGTGCTCCCTCGCTCACCTGTGCTCCCTCGCTCACCTGTGCTCCCTCGCTCACCTGTGCTCCCTCGCTCACCTGTGCTCCCTCGCTCACCTGTGCTCCCTCGCTCACCTGTGCTCCCTCTCTCACCTGTGCTCCCTCGCTCACCTGTGCTCCCTCGCTCACCTGTGCTCCCTCGCTCACCTGTGCTCCCTCGCTCACCTGTGCTCCCTCGCTCACCTGTGCTCCCTCGCTCACCTGTGCTCCTCCTCACCTGTGCTCCCTCGCTCACCTGTGCTCCCTCGCTCACCTGTGCTCCCTCGCTCACCTGTGCTCCCTCGCTCACCTGTGCTCCCTCGCTCACCTGTGCTCCCTCGCTCACCTGTGCTCCCTCGCTCACCTGTGCTCCCTCGCTCACCTGTGCTCCCTCTCTCACCTGTGCTCCCTCGCTCACCTGTGCTCCCTCGCTCACCTGTGCTCCCTCGCTCACCTGTGCTCCCTCGCTCACCTGTGCTCCCTCGCTCACCTGTGCTCCCTCGCTCACCTGTGCTCCCTCGCTCACCTGTGCTCCCTCGCTCACCTGTGCTCCCTCGCTCACCTGTGCTCCCTCGCTCACCTGTGCTCCCTCGCTCACCTGTGCTCCCTCGCTCACCTGTGCCCCTCGCTCACCTGTGCTCCCTCGCTCACCTGTGCTCCCTCGCTCACCTGTGCTCCCTCGCTCACCTGTGCTCCCTCGCTCACCTGTGCTCCCTCGCTCACCTGTGCTCCCTCGCTCACCTGTGCTCCCTCGCTCACCTGTGCTCCCTCTCTCACCTGTGCTCCCTCGCTCACCTGTGCTCCCTCGCTCACCTGTGCTCCCTCGCTCACCTGTGCTCCCTCGCTCACCTGTGCTCCCTCGCTCACCTGTGCTCCCTCGCTCACCTGTGCTCCCTCGCTCACCTGTGCTCCCTCGCTCACCTGTGCTCCCTCTCACCTGTGCTCCCTCGCTCACCTGTGCTCCCTCGCTCACCTGTGCTCCCTCGCTCACCTGTGCTCCCTCGCTCACCTGTGCTCCCTCGCTCACCTGTGCTCCCTCGCTCACCTGTGCTCCCTCGCTCACCTGTGCTCCCTCGCTCACCTGTGCTCCCTCGCTCACCTGTGCTCCCTCGCTCACCTGTGCTCCCTCGCTCACCTGTGCTCCCTCGCTCACCTGTGCTCCCTCGCTCACCTGTGCTCCCTCGCTCACCTGTGCTCCCTCGCTCACCTGTGCTCCCTCGCTCACCTGTGCTCCCTCGCTCACCTGTGCTCCCTCGCTCACCTGTGCTCCCTCGCTCACCTGTGCTCCCTCGCTCACCTGTGCTCCCTCGCTCACCTGTGCTCCCTCGCTCACCTGTGCTCCCTCGCTCACCTGTGCTCCCTCGCTCACCTGTGCTCCCTCGCTCACCTGT